TAATGGAAAGAAAGTTAGAAAATAGGAATCATACCAAATATTTATCCAAGTTTACTCAAAAAAATAGTATCATAAACAATTACAAATTACAAATGAAAAAAGAAAATAAACAACATAGATTCATAATTGCAAAAATTTGCCTCACGTTCAATAAATTACTCTAGAGATTTTGCTATCTCTGTATACTTTCGACTCAAGTTTAGAAAACTTTTACGTATTACTTTAATTCATCTATTTTTGAGTGTCCTATATCGTTGAATAAAATTTCAAATCTAGAGACGTACGTATATATGTTACTCTAACCGTTATTCTATTATCTCATGAATTGAAATTTTACTAATGAAACAAATAAAGCACCAGAAAATAAAAATGACAACATAAAATGTAATCACTCAGCCTCAACTAAAATCACTTTTTCAAAAGATAAATTTCAATTACCACAGTTAAATCTAATCGTTGATAAGATTTTTTACGCTGTAAAAGTAAAATTACCATATATTTTTTAATTGAGCAATAGGGGGAGAGAGGGACAAAAAAGAAAAAGAAAATGTTGTGGTTTGAGACATTGTCTATGAATAGGCCAGAAACACAAAGTACACTGATATTGCTGTAGATGCAGCCAGCAGATGGAAACAAATAAACAAGCAAAGGTACGATTTTGCCCTCCTAATTTTTTTTAATTATTATTTTTTGTATTATTCTGCCTCATTTGTACCACCTTCCTACTTATGCTATTAAAATTAAAATAAAAAAAAATTCACAAATGTACAGTTATGTACTTTCTTACCAACTTTTGCTACTTCCTTCAAAATTTTAATTCCCTCAAAATTTTCAAACATAGTTGAGTTCACGGGAACCTAATTTTAAAATAATTCAATTGGTTAAAACATTTATTTACGAATAAAAATTTGTGAGTTCGTATTTTCATTTCCACACATTGTACTAAAAAAGTATTGTAATGGAGTGGGGCATTTTTACTTACCACATAATAACTAATAGACCAATTTAATACGGTTGAGTTTGAACATTCTTTATATTAAAAGTTTGTTCGGGAGTGATGATAGAATTAGTGAATTTGAATAAAGAGATTAAGTATAATTGATTTTTCAAAATCACCCTCCAAGATTCCAAATGATATTTTAAAAATCAGTTTAAAGTGATTTTAAACTTTTTTTAAATCAATTTTTTAATTTTTCAAATCTGAACAACGAAAATAGAAGTGATTTTGACCGTGACAAAAATGATTTTGGCCACCCCAAACACACCCTAGGTGTCTTTAATGGGTAGATTGATTTTGGGGCTAAGTTTAGATATTTTTATAGTTGGGTTTAAAAATCTCTATAACTAGATTTTTCCTTTTATATTTTATTTTATAATTTTATGTGATACATCGCATAACTCATCAACTAACTGCTATATAAGTTTAATTTTAAGAAGGTCGTTGCTACTCAAGTTTATAATTTTATCTCAGGATTTTTCAATGTGGTTGAGTTGCATCATGATTGGTACGCAGTTCAAATTTGTAGCCCGCGTGACATTTATCGTTAGGTCTAGAAAACAAATTTATGATTGTATCCCATGAAATTAAAAGGTTTTAGGTTTAAATTAATTTATAAAATTACAATTCTATGATACTTAAAATTTTGAGGTTGAAATTAATTTAGGAGAGGAAATATTTGGAAATATTGTGAAAAAGAATCTCAAAGTTTGGGTCCGGGGAATAAGCAAAGTTGAGGAAAACGACAGAAATTGCCGCAAGGTTTTCCCATGAATGAATAATCCTATAAAAATAAATGGCATTGCTGAAGTGGATCTAATTACCTATTACCCGTGGACTTAAAAAGATAGATAGATAGATAAATAAATAAATATGTGTGTACCATACATATTATTTTGAAAAAAAAATTATACTTTTGTAATCTACGATGGTATGTCTGAGAATGATTTCAGCAATGATTATAGCTTTTTTTGCCAATGTCGAAGTGTTTTAAAATAAATATAGTTTGCAAAGCTGATTTTTTAACTTCAAAACTATTTTAAACCATCATGAGATGGTTCAAGTGATCAATGAGTATCAATGTAAATAGCAAAACATCCAGAAGAAATGAGTTCAAATCATAGTGGCCAGCTACTTATGATTTAATATCCACGAGTTATCTTGTCAACCAAATATAGTAGGATCCGACGATTTATCCATGAATAGTCGAGGTATGCGTAAGCTGGTTTGGATCTAACAAAAAAAAACTTCAAAAACTATTCAACTGATTCGTGCCAATCACTTATGATGTGATTTTTTAAGTAATTTTTGGTAAAAAAAAATAATAGAAAATTATATATTAAAATAGTTATTACTTTTAAATTTCAAAATTGTCTTACTATTACACTTTATTTTCATCTTAAAATTTGAGAAAATTTATTTATTTTCTCTTTCTAAAATGTCTTTTAACTTTATTCATGTTTTCTCTAAAATATTTTAATCTCTCCCTCAATTTTTAGTTTCCATCTCTTTCTAGTTTTATTTGTCGCTCTAAAATTTTTTGATGTAACTATGTCTTATAATAGATTGGTTTTTTAGTTATACATATAGAGATTTTTTTTTATCATAATTACTTAATAAATAATGTTAAATAACAATTAATTTGATGATTCTAAAATTATTTTAAAATCAAATATTAATCATTAGATCACTTTGAATTATATGAAAAAATCACTTGGAAGATGTGTAACAAAATATTAAAATAATTAAATAACAATTACTTGTCACTTAATCTCTTTTACTAAAATCATTCTTAAACCTGTCCTACATTTTAATTACTTTTAAAATAATGTATTTTTCTTAAAATATTTTCTATACAAAATTATTGAAAATGCTTATTATATTTCCTTAAAGGTGACTTTAATCACAACCTTATTTAGTTCCAGTATATTTAAAAGGTGAATTCTACACCTGTCAAATAATAATAAAGTGATTCTCATCCCTTCAAAAAATAAAATAAAATAAAATAATAATAAATAAATAAATAATAAAGTGATTCCCATCCCATTCAATTACTTTAGAATAATTTTCGGGAGAGTCAATTTTAAAGTGATCCTTCCAAATAAATGAATATAATTTTTGTTGTTGTACTCAAAAAAAAAAAAAAAGAAAAAGAAAATAATTTTTGTAATCTTTTCTTTTTACCAAACAGTCTAGATTTATTTTATTTTTCTTGTTTTCTTTAATGTTTTTAGCCCTCCAAAGTGTTAATCCAAATTACACACTCTAAGTAGCCAGCACCTCCTGTGGTTTATTAATTTATTAATTTCTATTAGTATATATGTGATTCACTAATAAGTTATTTTCTTTAATCTGAGAAAATTTAGCACTGCAAAATTTAAATCTAAGTGGTTGAATATTTATAAATAAATGTATACGTGTCTTCTAAAGTTATTCCAACGTTTTATTTTCCTTCTGCTTGTTTCTTTTTTAATTACATTATATTTAAAACTGATACTATAAATGTTAAAGTATAATAAAATGACTCTATTAATCCGTATAGTCAATTATATAAAAAATAATTATAAACAGTTTGATTATTTCAATAATACTATTTATTTGTTACCGAACACTCTAGATAATTAAAAAAGTAAAAACTTTTGACGCCCCAAAATTACTTAGATAAAGTAAATCCAAACACACTCTTAGTTAGTCCTATCTCAATTAAACTCCATAAAAAAAAAAAGATAGTGATACATATGAGAATAATTAGATTTTTTTTAGTACACTACGTGGGTTTGGGGATCGAACTCACGTCGAGATATATGTCAATTATCGTTGAGCTATGCTCGTTTTGGCTATAAGAATAATTAGATTAAACTCACGACTAGGATGTAAATATTTAATAATTTTTGGTATCCCATTCAACTTTTAAGAGTAACATCAATTATAAATTTATAAGAGAGYCAATCAAAATATAGTTCGATTGGTTTATACATCTATCTTCAATCAAAAAGTCATGAGTTTGAATCTCTAYCCGTTTATTGTACTAAAAGAAAATTATATTTTATAAGAGAAGAGTAACAGTTGACTATATTTGTAAGTTACCGTTTAGATTTGTGCTCCCCTTGTTACAGGGAATTTTTCTCAAAATTTCATCAAATACTGGTTTTAGGTTTGGACCATATCTTTGATAAAGAATAATTTCCATAAATGGCTTGGAAATTATGCAATCATAACGTGTATTTTATTTTGGGTGYGACGCATGTATTTGTGAGGGACAAATAATAAGATAACACAATTTGAATTCAAAACTTTAGGTTAAAGAAAAACATATCATATAGAGTAAAGTTTGGACATGTCATATCAACCCATATTAGAATATTGACCAGCATCAAATATATCTATCAAGTATCATATTTGGTAAAAGTAATACATAAACCATAACAATATTTCTTACCTAAATTATAAGTTTTGGTCCATGAACTTTTTAAGATTGTGTGTATCTTTCATTTTTGCACTTTAAATTCTATTTCTTTTTTGGTAAGATTGGCGTAAGGCTAGGACATGCTGATCGACTTCGAGAATATGGATAATGTTGGTAGACAATCTCTCGATCTTCAACAAAAAAATCTGTTGACTATCAAGTACATATCCTCGAAATGGCAAGGTAGCACTTTTTAAGGTTGCCTATAAAAGGTAGATTCACCTCCTTACAACTAGGTAAACAACCTTACTAAGTTCGGCTCGACACCATCTCAAATTAAGTTGTAACTTAAGTTTTGGAGTGTTAMGTGGTCAARCACCACATCAATACAAGTGCTATTCCAATATATTCGCAGCTCACCTAAGCTCACGTGTTGACGCAAGTGCCAAATCATCCCAATAATATTRCATCAACAAAATCAATGATAGCAATAACACATTAGACACAAAAATAAAAGTTCAAAATATTGTAAAATACGTGCAAGGACTACTTGATCATAAAGTATACAACCTCGAAAATTTAGAAACCAATTAAAAACTTATTAAATTACACAAGAAAGGAGGATGCTAAAATTCCTATGGTAGCCACCAACTTGAAAAAGATATTAAAATCAAACACTGGATTGGAAGTCAGAGCCATTGAGAGTCACAATCGGGTCATTTTCTCCCCCCTTCTTGTATTTAAATTCGACCCCTTTGGCTCCAAACTTTCGACATGTCGTCTAAACTAAACTAATCTAATGGATTCCATTTCCACTACCGCAATTCTCACCACCATGCTCCGCAGCAGCACCCAGCCAACTCTGCCCACCGAGTTCCTGTGGCCCCACGCCGACCTCCCCCCCGCCGGCGCCGCCGACGAGCTCCAGGAACCCGTTWTAGACTTGAGCGGTTTCCGGCGAGGGGATGCGGAGGCGACGGCGCGGGCGGCGGAGCTGGTCCGGTCGGCGTGCAGGAAGCACGGGTTCTTCCAGGTGACGAACCACGGGGTGGAGGCGGAGCTGATAAAGGCGGCGTACGAGGAGGTGGAGACCATCTTCAAGATGCCGGCGGTGAAGAAGATTAGCGTCGGGAAGAAGCCYGGCAGAGTGTCCGGATATTCCGGCGCCCATGCACACCGGTTCTCCTCCAAGCTCCCATGGAAGGAGACCTTCTCTTTTGAGTACTCCAAGAATCTCCCTGTTCTTGACTACTTCAACTCCTTCTTGGGCCGCGACTTTGAAAACGYCGGGTCARCGTTCTTTCATTTCTCTCTCTTACTCGTMAAAAATCAATTAAATTTCTGTCTTTCAGTCTAATTAACTTCATTATGCTTACTTGACAGACCTATCSTGTAAGTACTRTATAAACAAAGTTAGACACAAAGTCGAAAGTTCAAAAATCTGTTAGAGCATTTTTTYCAACACATCGACTAAATAAAACATAATTTATAAAGTGAYATTGAGATTGACCTACTTTTTAAAGTAGGTGGACTAAATAAACGTGTAACTTAGAAAGTTTAATTACTTACTATAAAGTATAGAAATTRAMMAARRAMC